TTCGCTCGACTCCACTTCTACAGGACCAGCTGACAATCTCAGGGACCCAGGTAGAAGTGTATTGTATATATATATATTGTATAGTTAGTTTTACCTTACAAATGAATAGTTATAGTGGCATATTTCAGAGTGAGTGTAATACTGTGCATAACACAATAAAGCCAAATACTAAAAAGTTAAAACTTAATTGAAATTTGTAGTATTACATAAATATCAAATTTTAAAACATGGTGTATTTTCTGTTAATGGATTAATTATTTTTTAAATCTATTTTTTTTCTTAGATAATGGAAAAAAAAATACGAATGACTCATTAACCAAATGGTTATTGTTTGCTAAAGTAGGGTTCACTGGTCAGTCTTCTGTAACCAATACCACAACAGTAATTCCCTCTTGCACTACAACTGCTGTTCCTCAAACTTCGACTATTATTTCGGTTACTGTTCCTACGTCCGTGCCATCGGCTACTATCTCTATCTCATATAACACATCGGACATGATCAGTACTTCTAAAATAATTCATCGTGTGCATAGAAATGGAAAACATGATATAAAATGTATTTCTTGTGATAAATATCCTGACACAGTAAAAATATATTCAGAAAAGTCACAACCTCCCAAAATAACTCAGGATCTTGGTGCTTTGCTTAGACAAGAAATAGTTGATAATCATTTAACGAAATCCTATCATACAATTAGTCTGAAAATGCTTCGCCTTTCTACATTATCATAACCCAATTCAAAGCAATATACTCTAATAAGTCGTGCAATTTTAAAGTACAATGAAAAACTTGGAAATATAATTGGTTCCTTAATGATACATGCATATGGAGATCCAAAAAAATTGACTTTAAGTGCATACCCATATCCTATAAGAGTAGTTACAAGTCAAATTGCTAATCAATTTAATTTTATTGAATACAATAAAAATAATACTTATGATTTTTAATATTTAACTCCTACATCACATAAAGAATTTCTTCAATGTATTATGAAAACTTATAAAACAACTTTTTCAGAATACTTAATTTCGGGTACATTATCTATGTCATTGCGGTGTGATGGGTCGGTGGATCGATCGCAGGTGGATAAAATGTAGGTCATATTAAAAACCGTGTCATTAATAGGAGTAGCAGAGCAATACTATTTGGGAGCTGGGCAAGTCGAACAAATAAGTGCAGAGGGAATTTTAGACGCTATTGAAACAGCTTGTAAAAATACCGTTGGTCAAGAGGTAACTGAAGTAATTTTAAAAACATATCATCGGTTGTAAGGGATGGTGCTGCTGTGAATATTGGTAACAAGAGATTATTGTGGACATTACTTGAAAGTAAATGGAGAGATAAGACAAATAAATTTAACGTGCCGTTAATTAAAATTTAGTGTGCAGTGCATAGATCAAATTTGGCATGGAAAGATATAAGTTCTACAGTGGTTTCCCATTTAGTGTTTAAGTTGTCGGGTATTTCCGAGTTTTCGTTCAATTAGTATAGTTGGAGGATGGATAGATGGACTTGAAGACAAACTTAACAGTACTGATGGTAAAACACTGAAGAGTATTAAATTAATAGATACACAAGAAAAACGAAATAGTAGACATAAATTATATGTCACTGAAAACAGATCCGTACAAGCTATATGTTATGAAATAGCGATGAACATTTTGTGAATACAAATAAACCAGCGGCTAATTTAAATCCAAATGCTAACATAAAAAACGCATTCAACGTTTTGGGTCATGATTTAGATTTAGCCGGCCTAGGAATGGAAAATACAGACATTCTGGAACATGATATGAATAGAGGACCTACGCCAGATGTCTTTGTCTAAACTTGTTCAGCATTTATCTGGATCTGATGCGTACAAAAATCTAAATATTTTACTTTCTCGTATTATAGCTGACAAACCTCACAGTGCTGACGTTGAACGTTTAATCAGTAAAAGTAATATTCTTAAATCAATAAATCGTCAAAGTTTGCACGTAGAAACTGAAAATGAATATCTATTTATTCATTTTAACATGCCACCTCTACAAAATTGGGATCCAAGACAAGCAGTACAGATATGGTTAAAACAAAATGAACGTCGCGTTAAGGATACACCAAAAGCTAAGGAACAAGAATGGTGTCATGGTATATTTGAGGAAGGGTCAAAAAGAAATTCTGAACAAGAACATGGTGAAACTTCAAAAAAAAGAAGACAATTTTAAAATAAAAATACTATTATGTTTTTGTACCTGTGTGTTAAATACAAAAAAAAATATTATTTTAAACAAGAAAAAAGTAAAATTTTAATAAAAAAGGACATTTTTAATCCTATGTTTATATTATTTATTATTGTTATTTATATTAGTAGGCAGAATTAGATACAAGTGAAACATAAACTATACTATAGTTAGAAGTTAAAATTTAAATTATTTAGTGCAAACGCTCTTATTAAGCCAAGTTAGGTTAGGGTGATGCAGATTCGGTTCCATAATAACATGCGCAGTTGAAAAAAATCCTTAGAATAAGCCATGCCTGAGAGAATAGGTTATGTTAAACTATAAACGCCAGTCAATTCCCTCATTTAAATATGTACTTATGCGTTCCCCTTTGTCGTTTTCGTTGTTTACAAAATGTATATGGCTCTCAAAGATTTTGAAAGACTGTTTGACTGTCAGTCCGTGACGTAAGACACAAACACCGTGTACAACATCAGCTTGTGTTATGTACTCTACTGGGAATTTTGTACTCGTGAACAAACCCAACATTTGACATACGTGTTGAAAATTCATGTTGTGGTCCCTTGGTTCTAAAGAAAAAGTTTTCAAAAGTAAGCTAAATTTGGCTTGCTGCACGGACAAACAAATACATATTTGGACAAACTTAAATTAAGGCTAATCCTTATATCCTCACCCAAGAGAAAAAGTGTATTGAGTCACAAAATGGAAATTTAAAGGAGGGAGAAAAACAAATTTATATATATTATCCAAATATGAATTTTTTCCGTGTAACCACTAGTTTTTGTATTAGATTATTATTTACTTTCATCAATATCGGTCAATAACTTTGATAAAGTTTTTTTAAACAACATTCTTCGATCAACTCCACGATCAAAAACAGTCAATTCATGATTACCTGAAAATTCAATAAATGTGTTAAACAAAGTATAAATAATTTTTTTAAGTGTTTTTATTATGACAATTTGGTAACCTCAGTTAACACAGCGAAATTAAAAAATTACAAATTACATTATTCGAAAAACGAACATATTTTAACAAACACACAAATCGTTAAAATATGTTTTTATTGGAATTATGCGTGTACGTGTGTTGCAATTATAAATGTCAAAAACGTTTTGTGATAGGTACTTTATTATAGTAAAAAGATGTGCAGCAACTACAATTACTGGTATAGTTTTTCGCTTACAATAAAAATGCCAATTGAAATAAATATCGGACACAAGTTTCGACTAGTGAATACAAGCCATTCTGCTAGCTTATATTGTTTTTTATTAAAATAACTAAAAAAAATAAAAAGACTAAATATTCTTATTGATTAATATTTGTGTGTCAGATATAAATGGGTAGCTATACCCATTTCTATCTAAATTTAGAAGTTAAATTATGTAATGTTTTAAAATTAAAAGTTCAATAAAAGTACAAATTTTTTGCTTTCAGTTTGGGGTAAAGTTTATTGAGTAGTAAAACATATAGCGTTTAAATGAACGTACAGTTGTTGAACAAATATTTGTGTTATGTTATGTTTAGTTAATTATAAACTTGTAAATTGACCGTTTTCATTTTAACAGTTTGCTCTCATTACGTTACGGAAACCTGGATTGACTTAAAATAAATTTTGAATGACCGTCGAGATTTAAGCTCTATTTACGACTGTCGGATAAAGGGTAATTACCAAGAAATGCAACGTCAATAAAAGTTTGGTCTGGAACAAAAACATAAAATTATGCAATAAATATTTATTCGATTGTTGAATATGAGTATTTTAGTAGATCTGAGTAGAATAATAATTTAAAAAAAAAGATAACTTAGGCCAGTTAATCAACATAATTTTTTTTTTTAAAATTACTTTAATTATTAAATTGATTGAGCCTTTATTAAAAAAGTCATCCATGCCCAAACAATCCACGCTAGAATGTGATTTTATTAAGAAAAAGTACTAGAGTCTTATGCGTAAAACGTGTAGATAGAATATTATCTAATAAAAAAGACACTAATGGTCGAGCGGCCGATAAGGTTTTACAAATTTTCCATTATTTTATTTATTTTTCATTTTCATTCATTTAAATTTGTACACTTGTTCATCCAGTGTAAACTTTAAGATTAATTAACGAGGGTACACCAAAAATATTAGATTATACAAAAAAATATTAGTAAAGATTTTTGGTTTACATCACTCTATTGCACACAATCCCGTTTAAGATTCAGTAATTTTATTCAACAACGGAGTTAAGTAACTCATTGTTGGTGAAAATGGTCAAATTCGTTCAATTAAAACTCATACTGTCGGTTAAACAATAAATTTGAAAAATTAGTACTTACAAACTAAAATAAGTATAGCGCATAAGAATAAAAAATATTTTTTATAACTTTTTTAAGTAAAATTTTATGTGAAACACGGTTATTTTTAATTACCCGATATTTTCACTATCAGTATTATAAAAGGTATGTGAAAATATGTTGAATTTTATAACTACCTGAGCCTTTGTGTACTATTTTTTGCAGTTGGTTCTCCAATATCATCTCTAAAATTTAAAAAAAAAAACACATTTTTATATTTATCTAATGTCTGTTTGTCAATTTCAAAATGAATGTGCTTATGATTTTTCTCATAGTTTAAAAACTAATCTGAAAGCTTTGTGTAATATGAAATACTATAAATATGAAACATGAATTACGGTGTAATGTTAAGTCATCCATTGGATTGTCTGAAATTAAAACGATAACATTTTATAATTGTGAACAACAAACAAATATAGGAAAATATTTTCAATTATTACCAGATACTGCACACATATGAGATAATGACTCTGAAATTATGATTACAAAAAACTGATTTTTTAACGATATTGGACTTAATTTCATGTTCAATTATAAATTTAAAGGAGAAAGTCAAGGTATAAAATACACATTTAATAATAATAAGAATGTTAAATATACGAATTAAAATTGAGTGATTCAAATTTAATATTTCCATCACTTATAAATTTGCATTGATAAATTGTTTTTGCAATTATTGTTTCATTACTTAATCGGTTTGCTTATAGAATAATAATTACTCATGGGAAGATTAAGTGCAACAATTTCTTTTATTTTATTCCAAAGGGTCCCTGAAATAAATAAATAATTGATTGCGTTAAAAAAATCACATGAAATTTTAATGAGACATAATATGTATAAAAGTGTTCTGAATAGAAGTACATTTTTAGTTAAAAGTGGCCCATTGAACTAGTGATAAACCGTGTTGGAATTTTATTACATAATTATTATATAAAATCTATTATAGATCATCACTAATATTGTACAAACTGAATTATAATATAATGATATTATTCGTGTGGAAGACTCTTTTGAGAAATATTCTCAATACAAGTTGCATTATTTGAGCTTAGTATCCTCAACAAACAGGGACGGCGCCAAGGGGGGGGGCGAGGGTGGGCGGTCACCCCCCAGATATTTTGCTAAATAGTATAATTTTAAATATTTGATTATTATTCCTAAAACCCAGATTTTGATTAACTGTATTTTTATATATACAAATTTAGTTATTAGTTATGACATTGCCACCAAATGTGGCCTTTTTTATCAATATATTTTGAGTGTTTTTGCAATCGGTTATCAATAATCCGTCGTCCATATAATTATGTGTTTTGGTGTGTGTGTATATATATATAATTATAATATTTACGTTTGTGTGTGTGTTTTCCAAAAATTCAGTGTTTATTGACGGATTGTTTTGGTTTAATAGAATGTAGGTATAACACGATAACTATAATCTCCACTGTCTGGTTGTTGGGCGTTTTATAAGCCTTCATTTTTACTTCGACTTTCATAGAGTACAATAAGAGCTATATGATGGCCGACAGGTAAAAATAACGCTTATTTTAAAAAGCTGCCTTACTTAAATTGTACACTAGTATATATTTTTCCTTAATCTGTAATAAATTCATATTTTATACTATTTAACTGATAAATATTAAAGTCATTCACTGATAAATCATTATGATTGTTTTTTATTGACAGAAGTAGGTAAAACTATTGTGGTTGCCCCTCCGAAAAATTCAATTGACCTTTCCCGCCCCCCTAGGAAAAAAATTCTGGCGCCGTGCCTGTCAACAAACCTTGACTTCACTAATATTGATAATTCCTGGAGTTTTTCGGTAAAAAGTATTTAAAAAAAAAAAAAAAAAATACACACAAAGGCCAATATTTGGTGGCATTTTTTCATAGAGATTATAATTCACAAATATAAATTACGTTATAGTCAGGTCAAATGCAAGTACAATAAAACCATTGAATTTATAGTATTAATAATTTTAAGTATGTCTTACCTTTTTCATCATGTATTTCAATGAGTAGGTCTGTAACAAATTATGTATAAAAACTGTAAGTCTTAAAACTTAAAAAGTATTTTGTTAACAATAAATGTACTGACTTGTAGCATGAAGCGTCCTTCTCCAGCCTGTACTATCTGTAAAAAAGTTGAATATTGAATTTTGTTAAACTTTTTTTAAACGTAAACTAAGTACCTTGGGTAAGTACTTGTAAAAGCGAATTACATACCATAAGAATGATTTGCCAAAACATTTGAAATAGCACAGAAGAGTAAGATATATATATATTTCATTTTTGTCTGCAAGTAATAATATAAATAAAAACATATTAAACGGAATTATTGGCCTAAGAACTCGAAGTAATGTAGAAAAAAAGACAAATGACTATTAAGCTAACAGTGTTATCATCAAAATTTGTTTGAATTTCCACGTTAAAAAAACTAAAGTATTTTACAAATACAATTTTTTAAATTTTACTAATGGGTTTTTTTTTTTATGGATAACAAATCGTTTTTGGATTGTATTACGTTTTATCATTTGTCGTTTTGAACGTTTACATTTGTTTGCATGATAGTACCTTATTGTTACAAATATTATATCAAACACAAATTTTGTATGGAAACCAATAAAAATATTTAAACAAATGGTTTTTACCTACGTATGTCATGTATTCTAGTTCACACATTTTTCATTACTGTGTTGATATTTTAGATCTCTTAATAAATAAATTAAATTCCTCTACATTCATTAATGTGTCGCAGTTAAGAAAATAGTATCTTTTCTATAAATGTTTACACTAGAACATTGTATAGACGATACCATATAACCGCATAGGTCATCGATATTTCTACAGTGTGATTATTTTATCATAGGCCACTCAATATCTTAGTTCAATTAATAATTTGATTTTTTTTTTCAAAAAATGTGATCTCGATTTTCAAAAAATGTATACATTTTCAGCTCCTCAATCTTAGTTTTTTTGATAGCAACTTTTTAAACATAAATTTTATTAACTTTTTACAATATGCTTTTTTTTAACTCGCTTTTGACTAAAAAAAAAAAGCAAGGGCCTTATTCAACCAAATTTAAATTACAAAAAAACTTAATATATAAAACATTATCTGGAATGTTAACTAATAAATTTATTAGGAACTTAATTGATTAGACCCACGCTTTTATTTTTAATCGAAAATTAAAGACGTTTAACATTATTTAAAATTGTATTCAATTTTTGGTTATTTTCAAAGTAAATGACATTTTAAATAAAATGTGCTACAAATAATTGGTAAATTGTTCTTGTAGTTAAATATTTTTTTTACTTTTTAGTTAAATATTTTTTTTACTTTTTAGTTAATTTTTTTACTATTTTTTAGAAAGCATGTTTCTAAAAAAATTTTTAAATTGAGAATTATGTACCAAACATTTTAAATGATCGATAAAAAATTTTTGGATAACTCTTTTTGAAGTACTTAAATAGTTATAATAATAATAATAATATGAGTACTCAACAATTTCTGGTGATATTTTTCAGTTAGTTCAAAACACATATTTTGAAAATACATGGTTTTAATAAAACCATTAAATATAAGAACACAATTTCGTTTATTACTTACTTAAATATTTGCAATGATAGTTGTACTGACTGTTTCAATGGTTTTTTTACGACTGATCGAATGGCTTACATATTGCCGACCGAAACAATAAAATCTAGATTTATTTTGCAGAATTTGTTATGCGAATTTGTTAACAACAGCAACATTAGTCATTTTTCGTTATGAACAACATATTTACATAATTCTGAATCATAATAACAAGCAGAGTATAATATTTTGTTTGTATACTAAATACTAAACCTCACAAAACAGTTCGTGCAAACGATCGCAGCAAATGGAATAGCTACATTAAATCTATCAAATTCTACTGTTTGTTAACCCAAGATAAAAATGTAGAATCAAGTTCATACGGGGATTATAGTTAGGAAAACCAATGTCATTAAACTACACTTAGTATCTAATATTAACGTAATTGTTAATAAATCCCAACATAGAATCCAATTAGTATTACTATAACTCGAATGCTGTTATTAATGAATAATTCGAAGGGTCATTAAATATTCCAAAATATGTTTTCAAAGCCACATCTTTTGTCCACCAATATGTTTCGCCTATTATATTCAAAACGGCTGTCTGCTTATGCGAGTTGCACAAAATGAGAAGTCGTTTAGGTGATTTTTTAAAAATGCATGCCGAAAATTGATTAAACCTTGACCCCTCATGTTTAAGGCTCTCTTGAATCACAGATTAGATAAAACGAGAGGGTGAACTTTGTCATTTACTTATAACTGAAACCCTCTTTAACTTAGCGTGACCAAATTCTAGAAATTAATGTATTGTGCAAAACACTTTACTATAATATTAAATCAGTCATAACGTCAATGAACATCAAGTGATACTCAGTTCTGAAACAATAACTTCTCGTAACGATTTTTTTTTCTACCAGTGATTACTCCGAGCTGAGTAGGGTTTTGATTTGCTTACATTTTCAAATATCATTTAGTTGGTTCTTTGTGAGATAAGCGGTAAAAGTTAAACTTTTGGTTTGCCGTGTGCATTTGAGGAATTTCAAAAGAAAAATTAATAGTTTTTTGGTGACATAAACAATGTGTACGTATACTTTGACGATTTGCTTATAGCAACAGAGGATGAAATTCTGCATGATGATGTAGTAATACAGGTATAAGAAAGGGCAAAACAATTAAATATAAAGTTTAATAGTTTTAAGATTAAATATAAAAGGCATGAGTTTAATTATATTGGTATGGTGTTTGGCAGTGGGGGAATGAAACCAAATGAGTACAGAAATAAAGCGTTAATGTCTTTAAAACCACCTAAATGCAAACTGGAATTACAGAGATTTTCAGGAGCTTTTAACTACTTAAGAGAGTTTATATTAAATATGTCTACTTTAATAACACCTCTGAGAGACTTATTTAAAAAAAATTGTTAATTGGTTGTGGAGTGAAGCTCGTACTGAAGTATTAGACAAACTCAAGCAAATAGTTGCAAGTTCTCAAGTATTAGTGAATTTTGACCCAGAAATTGAGATAACAATACAATGTGATAAATCACAAACGGGATGCCAAGTATCTTAAATGCTTGAAAGGTATTTCACAATTATGTATTTGGGCATAAACAAAATATATTGACAGATCAGTCGCCTTTAGTTTTAATATTTAAAAAAAAATTTAATAAAGTGATTTCAGTGCGGTTACAGAAAATGAAAATTAAACTTATAATTTATGATCTATGTGTAGAATACTTGCCTAGCAAGTTAATGTTTCTAGCAGATTTACTGTCAAGAAATTATATGTGTGATAAGGATGACGGAGCGCAATATTGGAGGAAATGATATATGCAATTGAATATAAGAATACTAACATTAGGGAAATAGCAAAAGAAACTAAAAATGATGTTAAGTTGAGTGAAGTGATAAAATGTTATACAAGTGGCTGGCCTACGAAAAAAAAAAAATTTCCAGAAAATATAATACAATATAGGAACTTCAAAAATAGTATTTGTGTTGAACAGGATGTAGTCTATTAGGAGGATAGGATAAGGGATAAGATAAGGGGCACAATGGAGACATTTTCAAGAGCAAAACAGTTGATGTTTTGGTCCGCCATGGATAGTGAAATAAGACTATTTGTAGTAAAAAATAAATTCGTTATATTATTTCACATAAAGTTAGGACAGGAAGGAAAGTGTGGGTGAGAAGTTGATTCAATTCTTACAAATGTGTTTCGTTATAACACTTATGGGGTCAGTAGAAATAATGTATTTATGAAATTAATTTACATTTTTATTTAATATAACATCATTTTTCGTTGAGCCTCTGATTTGAAACCCAAATTTCAATAACAACTGTCTCACAGCCTATGAGTCATAGGTGCGATTGGAGGTTTTTTTTTTACTGTTTATATATTTTCTTAGATATAAAATTGTTTTTTTGAAACGATTTTAGCTTCGATGCAAAGCGAGAAGGTATTGGTTTTACTCTGATGTGAGCTTTTTTTTTCGCTGTATACACTGTAACTTTTTTAATACTAGACCAATTCCTTCGAATAGCAACTCTATAAATCACAAATTTTGTCTAGTTTGTACTTTGGGGGGGTAAAAGTTGAAAAAGTTTAAGTCTTCACAGACGAAAGTTGAAAAAACAAAAAAAAAACCATACGAGTTTTTAAGTTAGAACTTTTACTGGCTATAGTATCGAGAAAAAGAGTCGGATCGAGTTGAAATGTATAAGAACGTGCGTGGTATGCCCGCGCACGTCAGTTTTGTCAAATTCAAAATATACCCATTTCCTGCCCTCTAAGGGGGGTACAAGTCTTTTTGTTTTTCGAGGTTTTTGGCCGTAATTTTAAAACTTTTGGGTTGAAAATTTGCCAGTAGTTGGAACTCATATGTATCCATAACATATTAAGCGGGTGAAAAATTCGGCACAACAGTTTTTTTTTAATTGCCGGAAAACCGTGTTTTCGCACATTGCGTATATTTTAACAAAAACACCTAAAATCTTTAAAAAAAATTGATCAAATCATTAAAACAATTTTATTTATATCTATGCAGAATGATACTATTAGGTTTTGTGCTCAAGTACCACTTTTGACTTAAAGTTTACACAAATTCAATTTTTTTACTAAAAACCCAGTGTACCAGATGTGAGAAACGGACAGACACTAAAAACTATCAGTTGGTAACGTCTATCCGTGTTAGATTAGGTTAGGGCCCAATGATCGGTATCATAATATTGTGTTTATTACATGATATCACAGGCGACTAAATCGTGTGACTGATTATAGTAGACACTCGATTTATTGGGAAAAAAACCTGTCCGTGTACTTTTTAAGACAATTAATGATTCTGATACGACAAAACCACTGTCGTTATCTCGTTATTTTATAGCCTGCGTTATATAACCTTACCGAAGGTTAACTATGAGTATTTAATGTCCAACTACCTGCAAATAATGAAGAGGACTGTTGTTTTTTGGATTCAGATTAAGTGTTGGTTTTTATGCAGTATACCGCCTCAAAATGTTTTTTTTATTACACAATTTTTTTAAAGGAAAACTAATGTTTTGCATATTTTTATACTGTTATTCATTTAAAGAGATTCACGCTTGATTGTTTAAATTGTCTAATATTAGATAATCTGCTTCGTGCTAATTTTAATTTTTTAGTTTATCAACTTGTAGCTCTAATTTTGTAAAAAAATATTTCATTATTTTATTACTATGTACTATTACTATTAAGATAATTTTTAATAATAATTAAGTCATAAATGATAATACTTTATTTTATGACTAGATTAAATCTCGTGAACATTTAACATCATGATACTGCTCCTATGCTATTATTAAAAAAACACAATTTTTAAAATCTCCATAAACGGTTATTGTTAAATAACAGGCAACAGCCGACTGCTAGTGGCTATACACGTTAGTAATATTTAACTAATAAGTAATAAATGTAGGTAAAATTTATTTTTTTCTCCATCACAGTACCAGTATACGATTTATTTTAATTTAAATGTAAGAAAATCGATTTTTCTCTAGAAAATAACAAGAAATTAATATACATGATGAGGCAGTAAAACGGCGATTTTCTAATGTATTTAAATGGTAAAACCCGTTTCACTATCCCACCCTTTACATTTTAAGGATCTATGAAAAGGTTTTTTTAGTTGCATTTTATTTTATACATTGTCAATCTAGTAAAATAGAAGTATAATATAGCTTTGAAATAATATAATCTGTGAAGTATAAATAGTTTGTGTGAGATTGCTTTAATGGAAGTATATAATACATAAATATTAATTTTATTGAGAATAAGCGATTATAATTTAAACTATGGAGTACAAACGATTGAAACATGTATCGTCGACCATTCCAACAAAATATAACAAGATATTGTATATGTGTTATTTGGTCCACTAAGTTTTTGCAAAAAAAAAAAAAACCAGTACAGTGGGGTCGGGGCATAGTGGGGACGGAGCATAGTTGGGTCGGGGCATATTGGGGACGGGGAGGTCACAGGCTTACAGGAATTTTTAAATCTGAAAGTGATAAAATCACTTTCGAAAAAACGCTTCGATGCAAATCGGTAGTTAGTATTTTCAAGCCAGTACAGTCCAAACCAAGCACAGTATAAACCAGCAAAGTTAGAAAGTTTTAAATGAAGGTTCTGTATTTACAAATGAGCATCAAAGCGTTTATTTGAAAGTGATTTTATTCAATTTTATCACTTTTATTTATAATAATTCTTGTAGACCTGGGACCTCTCCGTTTCCTCATTGCTTTGATTACATTATGCCAATACTCTACTGTACTAGTCCTCTCGGATAAAATCGCTTTCAAATAAACGCTTTGATGCTCATTTGTAAATACAGAACCTTCATTTAAAACTTTCTAACTTTGCTGGTTTATACTGTGCTTGGTTTGGACTGTACTGGCTTGAAAATACTAACTACCGATTTGCATCGAAGCGTTTTTTCGAAAGTGATTTTATCACTTTCAGATTTAAAAATTCCTGTAAACCTGTGACCTCCCCGTCCCCAATATGCCCCGACCCAACTATGCTCCGTCCCCACTATGCCCCGACCCCACTGTACTGGTTTTTTTTTTTGTT